ATGAGTAGCAGCTTGTTACGAAAAAGGGAAGGGAGGGCACTCTAGGAAAGAATACTTGCAAAGCCTCAGAAGTGAGTTAAGGAATTGAACAAATGTGGGTATGTCTGGGACACTAAGGATAAATGGGACAGGCACTAACAGCATGTGAAGGAATCTGGACTTTATCCTAAGAGCAGTGGGGAACCATTTGAAGGGGTTTCTATAGAGGGCTAGAGGCCCAGTGTATGACATTCGTGCACTCGGCAGGGGGTTGGGGGGTCCCTCAGCCTGGCCTGGGGCTTCTCACAGTACAAGAGCCCTGGGGGAGAGAGGGGGGGGTGTCTTGACAGCTTATACCTCCCACGGGGAGTGGGCATAAGCTGTTAGACATCCTTAGCACAGCTGCTGCTGCTGCTGTGCTCGCCAGCTGTGAGCCCAGCTCAGGGCTTCTGGCTGTGCAGCGCTCCCCCTGTGGGAACACACTGACCACCAGGGGGCAGCTCCTGCATTGAGCATCTTCCCGTTGGTGGTTAATACGCATCACAGTCATTCTGCCATTCAGTCAATTTGCATATTAGCCTTTTATTATAAAGGATAAACATTTATGTTTGCATTGTTAAAAATATATTTTTATTAATTTCAGAGAGGAATGGAGAGAGATAGAAACATCGATGATGAAGGAATCACTGATCAATCAGCTGCCTCCTGCTTACCCCACACCAGGGATTGAGCCTGCAACCCTGGCATCTGCCCTGACCAGGAATCAAACCATGATGTCCTAATTCATAGGTCGATACTCAACCACTGAGCCATGCCAGCCAGGCTCGGTTTGCATTTTGGAAAGATCACTCCAACTACAGAGGAGAAAGGAGGGGATGTGGGGAACTCAATAAAAAGTCTTTGCAGTACCAGATAGGAATAATGCTGGCCTGAACTGGGGTTGTAGCAGTGGATATGGAAAGAAATTGAAGGGTTTGTGAGACATTTGGAGGTAGAATATTTAGGGTCTGGATATGAGGGGGGAGAGAGAGAAGAGCCAATGCCCAGACTAATTGCTGGGTTCATTGGTGGGTGGTAATTCCATCAGCTGTAATAGGAGCACAATAGATGGCACATGTTTGGGAGAAAGATGTGCTGTGTTTAGGGTGCGTTAAGTTTGAGGCATTGGTGGGGCATGGATTTGGGGTATTCAGGAGGCAGTCAGAAGAGGTCTTGGGCCCTAACTGGTTTAAACCCCGTGGATAAAGCCTCAGCCTTCGGACAGAAGGGTCCGGGGTTTGATTCTTGGCCTGGGCACATGCAGGGGTTGCCCCCTTGATTCCCAGTAGTGGGTGTGTAGGAGGCAGCCGATTAATAATTCTCATCATTGATGTTTCTATTTCTCCTCTGAAATCAATATATATATATATATATATATATATATATTTTTTTTTTTTAATGCTTCATTTAAAAAAAAAAGATCTTGGGTGACATGAAGGTTTGGGAGACACTGGTATATGCATGGGTAAGGTTACCTGGGAGGAGTGTGTAGATCATGGTAACGCAACATTTAAGGGGTTGGCAGAAAAGGGGAAGACTGAGGAGAAATGGCACTGCTAACTTTACATCTAACCAGTTGACTGGCTTAGCTTCCCACTGTGTGAGTCACTGGAATATCCTGGGATGCCCCAGGGAAGGTATCCAGGGCAACAGAAGACACTAGAGAGGCCAGCCTGTTCTCCTTGACCACTGAATCCTAGCTCTGCTGACCTTGTCTTCACCCCACCTCTCTTCCCTAGATCCTTTTCCAACATGGTACAGACAGCTCCCCACTCCCAAACACCTCACCTATACAAGGAAATAAAGCAGGTGAAAAGAGCCAAATTAAGAGGCATTTTGGAGTCTGAGACCCCTCAGACTCCCAATGGCACCTTTTCAGAGGTTCCAGGGGAAGGGACAGGGGACATTCCAACTGGGTTGGAGACACGGATCCTAGTTGGCGTTGCAGCCCAAGAAAACCCGCCTCACCCTTGAGAATATGACCTGCCTCCCTCCTCTCCATGGGGATCCATCAGGTTCTGAAGAGCTGTTATGGGAACTCGTCCTCTATAAGCTTAGTGCAGACCCTCATCTCCTTGAACTTGGATAGTATAATGGGTTCTTATTCTATTTCACCTCCAACTGGTCTAACTAACTAGACATACTATTACTATACAATTCGGGTGCTGGCCATCAAGATTTAGCATCAGATCCCACCAGTTAAGGTGTCAGTTCTCTGTAAGACAGCCCTAATTCCAGATGCCAGCCATAAATCTCATGGGTTCGCAGGCTGTCCACATATTCAGGGGTTCCTGCCATCCCCGCAGGTTCAGTAATTACAAGAATAACTCGGAACTCAGGGAACTGCTATTATGATGACCATTTCATTGTCAGAATATACATTGGCAAGGTCTGGAAGGATCCCAGAAGCACATCTTCCATGCCCTTTCCCCTGGCACATTTATGTGTTTACCAACCACCCTCCTGGCAATTAATATGTTTACCAACTGCCCTCCTGGCACATTAATGTGTTTACCAACCAAGAAGTTTCCCTGAGCGTCAGTGTCCAGAATTTTTATTGGAGTTTTATTGGTTAACAAGTGGCTCAAAGTGCTAACCCTCTCATCACATGATTGTTTTTTCTGATATGGCCTCCCCCACCCATCCTGGTTCTTTCCTTTGCATAAACTATCTAATCATCTCATTAGTATAAACTATCAGGGCCCATTATGAGTAACAAAGAACTCCTATTGCTAGGGAAATTCCAAGGGTTTAGAATTTCCCTCCTAGGAACCAGACAGTCAAGTTCTTTATTGTACAACATTTCTTAACTTTTCTATTTTTATTTGATTTTTTTTTTTAGCGAGAGAACTGATTTGTTCCACTTATATATGTATTTATTGATTGATTTAAAAAATATATATATATATATATATATTTTTTAATTTTTTTACAGAGAAGAAGGGAGAGGGACAGAGAGCTAGAAACATCAATGAGAGAGAAACATCAATCAGCTGCCTCCTGCACAGGTGATGTGCCCGCAACCAATGTACATGCCCCTGACCGGAATTGAACTTGGGACCTTTCAGTCCGCAGACTACCACTGAGCCAAACCAGTTTTGGCGTACTTCTATATTTTTTTATTTTATGAATTTAAAAACATTTCTCCCAGTAGTGGTCCAGGGGATTCACCAAACTGCTAAGGGGATGCATGGAAGAAAAGCAGTTGGGACAGACACAAAGAAAGAGGTGAAAGGTGAGAGAGAAGTTGAGTCAAGAGTGGGAACTTGCTAAGTTAGCGTGGCCTTCAACCCCACTCTCTCAGAGGTCTGGCCCCTCACCTCTATCACTTCATGGAGGTCCTCTTCTTCCCACCTGGAAGAACATACCTAACCCATTCCATGTCTGTACTTGGACTTCCCCTTTCATCTCCAAGTCTTTGCTCCTGATGTTTCCCTGGCTAAAGTACCCCTAGGCTGTGCCAAGCCTGAGAGGGGGCAGTGAAGGATTTAGAAAAGACAGACAAGAGAATAAAACTGGGTCTTGGTGGGACACTGCTTCTCTGATGGAGAGACAGCGCCATGGCCTGTAAGCAGAGTCTTTATTTTATAGCCAGATTCCATGAGGCAAAGTAGAGGCGTTGTTACAAGTTTTTGCAGGTTTAGAATCTACTCAATTTCATGCACCTGACCAAGCTTTGTTTACTTGCACCTTCTGCAGCCCTTATCACTTAGCTACGTGGGACCACAGGTTTGGACCATAAGGTCAAGCTTACAACTATAGCCTTTGACTATAATTGTGCTGCGAGGGCTTGTACATGGCTTTGCCACGAAAGGATCATGCCCTCTCACTAGTCCCAGACTTGAACCTGTCCAAACGCTGTAACCGCTCTCCACATTAGGCTACCCTGATTTCTGAGTCAACCTGTAAGACTCAAAGTGTACTACTCCCCAGTTCCCTGTATCCTTCTGGTGAGGCAGGGGTTGTGTCATGTCTTTGTATCTCCAGCCCTTCCCACAGGGCCTGGCAAAGTAAGGTACCCAAATATATGTGCCCTCTGGCCCCAGCGTTACAAAATTATTAGGGTCCAGAGGTATGGTCAGTACTTGGAATCCCCCGTGGGTGGGATGGCTTTAGGATGAGGATCCTCTTGCTCTGTTCTTGGCTGAGGGCCGGAGTGGTCCCCTGGGTTCCAGAACCGTGTATTTAATCACTCAGTGCATAATGGGGCTGTTATGTTCTAAACACCCTGCCAGGTGCTGGGAATCAAAGATGAATGGGGAGATTAGCTGGGAGGAGAGAACTGAGCAGAAACTTAAGGACACTCTAAACTGTGCAAGGAAAACAATCTGTGTTTAGGTCCAGGTGTGTGGGGGGCGGTCTGGGCCCGCCTCCCCACTCCCTCACAGTGTTCCAAGGCGAAGATTTGAGAAGGATTAGCTATATAATCTCCGGGTTGGGTCTCGCTTTCAGGAAGGGGTGAGACCTGAATCCTAACCCGGCCCCACACCTGGCCGGCCCCATCCCGGAATTAGCGATCAGGCAGCTCATTCGCTATCAAGAAGCCTATTGGAAGGGCCTGGGTGACGGAGAACAGTCCCCCCCTCCCCGGACTTGGACACCGGTCACTTAACGACCCCTAAGAAGGGTCTCAGCGCGACATTCTTAGAACTTGCGGCTCCTTTAAAAGGAGGAGACGGGCGGGAGCGAACTAGCCGCCCCATGACGTCACAAACCCAGAACCAGGTTTCAGCTCCCAGGAGACCCCGCGGCCCCGCCCGCGCCCGCCGCCGAGGGACCAGGCTTCTGGGAGCGGCCCCGAGGGCCGCGGCGGAGGCGCGGGCGCCCAAAGGCGGGCGCGATCGCAGGGCGGGGCCACATCTTAAAGGGCCGGAGCCGAGGAAGACCCGGTGAGGGCTAGGGCTCGCCGGGGGCGAAACGCAGGGTGGTGATGCCGCGTGGCCCCGTGTCGATTTCTTTTAAATCTCTCCAGCCCCTGGCCCATGGAGCCCACGCAAGACTATCCACTGTTTGGGGGCGCCTTCTCCGCCACGCTCCCTGTCGGGGCCATTGACATCAGGTGAGGAAGGAGGCCGACCGGGTGGGGCTACGGAGAGGGGCCGGGCTCAACCCGCGCCTGCCTCGCCTCTCTCCAGCGACCTCCGACCGATCCCGGACAACCAAGAAGTGTTTTGCCACCGCGTGACGGACCAGAGCCTGATCGTGGAGCTTCTGGAGCTGCAGGCCCACGTGCGGGGAGAGGCGGCCGCGCGGTGAGCCGGGCAGACCGTGGCTGGCCAATGGGAGGGCCGGACCCGGGGAGTGGGCGGGGCCTGTGTTGGTCGGTCCATCTGGGCGATGAGAACTCCAAGGGCAACAACCTTATCACCCAAAGTGAGCGGAGCCCAGACTTAATGATGCTTGTGGGGCATCGGTGAGGGATGCCCCTTCCTGACCCTGCTCCTCCCCACTCCAGGTACCACTTTGAGGATGTTGGTGAGGTGCAGGGAGCTAGGGCTGTTCACGTGGAGGCTGTGCAGCCCCTCCTTTTGGAGAACCTGGCCCTGAGGGGCTGCTGTGAAGAAGCCTGGTTCCTCTCAGGCAAGCAGCAGGTAGCTAAAGGGAACCAGCAGGTAAGGGCCGGTGGCTGTGAGGTGGTCTGGAGGGGTGAAGAGGGTGGCTCCAGAACATCCTGACGCTGATCCTTTTAGGTAGCAAAGGATGTGACACTGCACCAGGCCTTGCTGAGGCTAACTCGGTACCAGACTGATCTCCTGCTCACCTTCAATCAGCCCCCGTAAGGAGGACAGAAAGGGCACATGGCGCAAGGGTGGGGTCCCCGGGAGAATCAGCTGGGAGGAGCAGAGCAGGGAAGCTGGCTGGTGGGGTCCTCCAAGGGAGTGGAAATGGGCCAGAGGTTTGTGGGGGGGGGGGGGTCACAGATATCTGGGTCATCCAAGGAACAGGAAAGGGGGTAACTTCCAAACAGGAGGCCTGGATGATGTTCTCTCCCCGTCTGTTCCCCCACTCCCAAGCCCTGACAATAGGTCATCTCTTGACCCTGAAAATCTGTCATTTCCACCCTGGAGCCTGGGTGACTTTGAACGGCTGGTGACCAGTCTGACTCTTCATGATCCCGGCATCTTTGGCCCCCAGTAAAGATGCTGAAATGCTACACGACGCTGCTGAAGACTTGGGAGCCCCATTCCGCAAGGGGAGCAAAGGGTTGGATATATTCCCCAGACTCCCTCCCTGTGTATGAACATAAGACACCTCTCTGCAGAAATAAACTTGCTTTATAACCAATATAATCTCTGTGCCTTTGAATCTAACAGGACACCTGGGTCCCCCCCAATTCCCTTTGGTCTTGGAGGGGGATTTTAAAGTTGTACATGTGATCAGAAGGGACCCAAGGCTGGCAGTGAAGAAAGGGGGGGGGGCAATATACTTTGGAGTGAAATGTACTGAGGGTCCGGTAGAGAGAGTTTAAAGTGACACCCAAGGAGGGGAGGGAAACTACCTCTTGGAGTGATTCAACCCTGAGAAAACAGATAGGGAGTGGGATTGGCTGTCCCCCTCTGATGGGTAAGAGGTCACCTGGTAAGACGTCACCAGGACATAGTAATGGAGGCAGGACTGTCCAAGGAGTGCCAGTGCGGTGGCGTGTGGAGAGTGGCCGCTATTTGGCGTACGCGTAGTAGAGGGAGCGAAGTTGGTCCCAGAAGAACAGCGAGAGGATGGTGTGCGGGCCGAGGCGGAAGTAGGAGGCTCCGATGCCCTTGTACATGCCGAAAACGCCCTCCGTCCGAGCCGTCTGCAGCAGAGCGTCCAGCACCCCTCGGTACATGAGGCCCTGCGAGCAGGTTGGAGAAGGAGGGAGAGAACAGGGAAGCAGTTTGTCAGAGCCCATCAGGGGGTCTCACCCCTGCAGGCTACCTGTTAGCCTGTGTCCCGCTTGCATCTGCAATCTGCTCCTGCCTCCTCCAGTTTTCCCTGCCTGCCTGGACCACAGAGCACTCCCTTACCTTGCCCTGAGTGTCAGTGGGCTGGTTGTAGAGCCTTGTGCTAACCACATCAAAGGGTGTCATGGCCAGGACCACCGCAACGCCACTCACCATGGCAGCTGCCAGAGCCACCTTCCAGCTCTGGGGAGGAAATAGCTAAAGGGAGGGAGGAAGAGCTCCGTCAGTCAATCATTCAACGCCTCGGTAAGGACAGGGCCGGCTCTGGGAATCCAGGAGAGCTTCTGCTCTATCTGGCTCTATCTGTTAACTCTGGGAGCTTCCGCTCTATCTGTTAATACAGTGTGATAACACTGGGAAGGCTCAGGTACACCTTCTGAGAGGGAGCGACAAGAGCTGTGGGAAGGGGATAGCACAGGCATGTCAAACTCATGGCCCATAAGGAATATTTGTATGGCCCAGCCAATATAATGGTATGGAAGGAACGTTTTAATAAAACATTTGTAACTTAATTTTTACAATATCCCGTTATACATAATTATTAATAACGAACAACATTTGCTAATGACTGATTACTATAATCGGGTTGCATTCATTTCCCTTATTCGCCTTACGTGCATTTCTCTCTACTAATACTGGCAGGAAATATTTTAGCAGCTGATGGCCATGTCAAACTGACTTGTTTGGTGTGCGCAACGGGAAATATTTCGCTTTCGGAGAACAAGAAAAACAGGTTTACTTGCATTACACTTATTAATTTGTGCAGTTATTCAGTGTCTGGTAAGTTAATGTTCAGGAAAAAATACCAATTTTTATTAAAATGTTCTATTATGTTAACGATGATTCATTTATTTCAGCCCTTTGTTTCATTTATTTCAGCATGTCTCTATCGAAATAAACCTACATTTCTATGCATGTTGAAGCTTTTTGTTTTTTTGCGGCCCCCATACACTTAAATCTTGTTTATTTGGCTTGTGTTAGCCTTTGAGTTTGACATGCTTGGTGTAGCAGCTGACCCCCAAGCCATCCTGCCACTTTCTCACCCCTCTAGGGCTCAGTTCAGCTTGTACTCCCCCCTGCCCACATTTCCCACGGCGGCCCCACCCATTTCCCCGGGCAGTACCTCCCACTGGGTTATAAGGTCCTTGGTGGATGAGAAGGTGCACAGCTGGGTGGAGGAACCGGCGATAACTCGGGGTAGGCCGCCCAAGGCCCCACGCCACAGCCCCACCAGACCATGTTTCTGGCCAATCCTGGCTAGCGCCTGAAACATGCCCTGGTAGGGGAAGACCATGAGGTGGGGTTTAGTCACCCTGGCATCAGGGGCTGCCATCTCCTAACACTGCTAAGGATGGGTCCTTAACAGGCATCCATGTCTGGACAACCAGTTGTGTGTGAGCTTAACACCAGAATGTGGCCCTTCAGTTGTCTGTCTCCTCGTTGTTCCCTCCCTTGCCATCCCAGACTAGGGAGCACGGGAGTGAGGACATTAGCAGCCCAGGAGAACAGGGCAGGAGAAACAGGTGCAGAGGGCTAGAGGAACGGGAACGTGTGGGAAAGAGGGACTGGGTGGACTTCGGGGGCAGAGGGAGGCTGAATTGATTGGCTGAGCAGAGCCTTGGCTGGGTTGGAGTTGTTGGGTGCAGACAGGAAGCTGGGGGCCATTGGGAGAGAATGGCAGAGACTCCAGTGGGGTTGGGAACATCTTACCTGATGCTTATACTGGTGCCCTACAGCAATTTCTGAGGCTGCCTGTGCTTGGAGGTGTGTCTTCACCTGGGGACGAGAGAGGATCACAACCGATGGCCCAGTGATCATTCTTTCACCTCAGAGACCCAAGCACCTGAACCCCTCACACTTCCTCTAGGGTGTTCAACAATGAAAATCCTTTTGGCCTGAAAATTATTGTTGTTCCCCTTTAACAAATTGGTCATGAGATTCTGTCTCTTGGCTCCAGTCCCCTGGGGAGGGTGGATCTCCTAGCACCACAGACACTCCGCCTCCTCTACTTCCTCCTTCCCTTGTGGGCCAGGGGTGGGGAATGGAGAGGTTAAAGAATGGCAATATTTCCTAAGATTATTCATCTTGGGCAAGACCTGGATGCCAGCCCCTAATCCCAAATGGACCTCCAGCTCCCAGCACAATCAGGCTTCCCCCTCAGACTCTGGGGTAGGTTGGGAGATCATGAACAAAACTTGCTCTCTGACCTCAAAGCCTCATGGGGGCATGTGCTCAGCTTGCTTTGAGGAGGCTACTGTCCTGAATCTCATGCCCTCCCTCTCAGTCTTTCAGGAGGAGCACAAAGCAGGGCCTAGTCCTGGCAATAAGCAGCTGTGTGACCTTGAGCTGGCCACTTCCCTTCTCTGAGCCTCAGGCTACAGACCCTTCACCTATACGAGATGACTAGACGGGGCAGACTGTGAGACTAATTCTGTGATATCCAGGACTTCTCCTGGTCCTTATACTTCCTGAAGTATGTTGCTCAAATCTCCCACCCTCCCCTACACAAGTCCACTTCCAACCTCGGTATCAGATTATGAAGGAAGGCCCCGGTCCCCACCCTACACCAAATGTCTGCCTTGAAGGCCCCAGGCCAGACCCTTCTTCTCACCATGTAGATGGGGCTCCCCAAGTAGGCTCCCAGGACCCCAGCCAACGCCCCAGCTGCTGCGCTTCGGAAAGGACTGTGGGCGCCTTCAGCTGTGTGCAGGTAGCCCTTAGCCTCAGCCAGCCCATAGGTGCCCAGCCGGATGCCATTCATCAGGAACTGGTATAGGAGGGCAGGGGCCAGGCCCTTCTGCAGGGCAGCCAGGCCGTCCACCTTGCCGATGGTGAAGAAGGCATGGAAGACGTTTCGGTAGTGCCGCTGGTAGGTGCCGGGGGCCTGCAGTTCTCCCTGTAACTGCATCCTGGTCTTCACCACCTCCAGGGGGTTGGTGAACACGCAGGCCCCACAGGCTGCCAGGCCACTCATCAAGAAGTCCATGGTGGGGTAGTGGTAGCAAGGACTGGCCCAGGAGTAAGGAAGTCGAAAGGAGCTTCAGAAACGCGGTCAGAAATCAGGAAAGGCCTGTTTCAACAGGCTGCAGGAGGTAGGAATGTAGCGTTCTGGAGTCAAGTGTCAGGGTCAAATGTCAGGTCAAAAGTTAGCTGGCATTTGGAAGTCAGGAGCTGGCAAAGAGAGAAGAAAGAGGAGTTTAGGAGAGTTTGGCGAGAAGGTAATGAGAGGGGTCTGTCGGCCAAAGGAGCTGAGATTGGCAGAAGCCAGGAGGAGGATGGCAGGTGGGATGCTGAGAATGGCAAGCTGCTGGGGGCCCGGGAAACAGGGAAGGGAAAAACGCGGGGCTGGGAACTGGAAGCCGGGGAGCAAGAAAAATAACCCCAGCAGGTTATGGAGGAAAAGGATCCGGGAGAAGATCCGCTGACGTCCCCGGGATAGCCGCGAGATCTGGATCGAGGAAGTGAGTCGGGACTCAGGCCAGGGCTGCGCGTCCCCGGGGAGCTGCGGGAGTCGCAGCGCCTTCGCCCCGTAACCTGCAGAGGCGGGACCGCCGGCCCCAGTCACGGCGCGCAGCGTCCAATGGGGAGCCTGGCGGCCTCAGCCAATCAGCGCCGTGCCGGCTCCGCGGCCAATGGGAGGCGCCCCGGCGACCTGACCCCCGGGACGGCGGGGAGGCGGTTCGGATTAACTCTCCCGGCTCTGCCCCAGGGCCGGTGCCAGGGCCTCGGGTCTGGGAGGGGAGTCTGCGGGGCCGAGGTTTAGTCACTGGTGGGGAGGTCACTGGACGGGCGCAGAGACGGAGCGCGGGGCAGCAGCCAGCTGTGGGGTATTTGGGGCTGCCCCTCTCCCCTCGAACCCCGGGTCTGGGCCCAGGGGAATTGCCCGACTGTAGATCCACGCCCTGATGGGTGCTGGTGCCAGCAGAGACTGTGTCCACTAGGCATCTGAGACCCCCCTACTGGGCCGGGCTTGTGTGTTCTAGCTCCGGGTGTGGCTTGGCTGTTTAGCCCTCAGCAATCTGGAGGAAGCCGGACATGCCAAAGCAGAGATCTCTGTCTGGGCTTAGGTTACACAGAGCCAGCCAGTGGTGGGAGAGATCCTGAGACTGTGGCCTCCTGACCTTGCTCATGAGTCACGGAAAAAGTTCTGAGAAAGGAGACTAGGGAAGCTAGCAGGGAGGAGATGAAGGGGGGGAAACTAGCTGGGAAAAGGCAGGAGGACAAGACCTGTCATCCGGGGCACAGCTGTGAGCGAGGCCATCCGCAGACTTGGACTGAGCGAGCCTTCTAAATGCCAGTTTGGTTCTTCTTGCTTACTAGTTGGATGGCCTTGGGCAAATTGCTTCACATTTCTAACATTTCAGAGCCTTTTTTTTTTTTTTTTTTTTTTTTTTTTTTTTTAAATGGGAATGATAATTCTCTTATTGCACATACCTTAATGGAACTGTTGGACTTGCACCTGGTGTTCAGTTTACAGATTTCCTGAAAAGTCAAGAGCTGTTAGACCCCTGTGCCCTAGGGTGCCCTGCTGCACAGCCAGATTAGAACATCCTTGCCATCTTCTTTTGGTGATCTCCAAATCATTGCAGTCATTCCTTATCTCCTGACCCTTGACATTTCAAATTCTTCACATTCAAGCCACTTCCAATCCTGCTTTGTTCCTGAAGCATTTAGCACTCCTCATTTTGTTTAGCAATTGTTTACTCTCAGAGTCCCTCACTATGCTGGAAGTTCTTGGATACCTTGCTGGCTTGGTCTAAAGCATTTCTACATCACCGGTGTACTGCTAAGTCATTGAGCCTTAGGATGAAGCAGGAGGGGTGGAAGGTAGAGTAGAAAATGGGGCTTCCCCTGGGCTCTGGAAGGGTCCCTGAGAAATTTCCAAGGAGTGCTCCCCAAATGCCTCCACCTGCTGGATAGGATGGGCGTTTCTCATTGTTTTAATCCTGGAGTTTATACCTGAGTTTCTTCAGGTGTGATCCCTGGAACAGAAGCAGCTGCTGCACCTGGTTCTTTATTATAAATGAACATTTTCTAGTCCCACCCTAGACCTCCTACACCAGAAACTCTGGAGGTGAAGCCTGACAATATGCTTCAACAAATTCCCTAGGTTATTCTGATGTGTGTTAAAGTTTTATTTTTACTATCCAGATGGATTAGAGATAGTTTTGAAAAAAAATTTTTTTTTTAAAAAAGCTTAATTGCCCTGGCTGGTTTGGCTCAGTGGGTAGAGCATTGGCCTGCGGACTGAAGGGTCCTGGATTCCATTCTGGTCAAGGGCATATGCTTTGGTGCAGGTTTGATCCACGGGGGGATGGAAGGATATGCAGGAGGCAGCCAATCAAGAATTCTCTCTCATCATTGATGTTTCTGTCTCTCCCTCTCCCTTCCTCTCTGAAAGCAATAAAAACATATTTTAAAAAAATTGACCTTGTAAATTTTAAAAAAGCTTAATTTCTAGAAGTTTGAGATTTATAGAAAATTTGTGCAGAATCTGTGAGAGTTTCTATGTACCCCAATTCAGTTCCCTTGTTATTAACATCTTGTATTAATATATTTTGTTAGAATTATGAACCAATATTGATACATTATTTTTAACTAAAGTCCATGCTCTATGCAGATTTTCTTCATTTTTTTAATATATATATATATTTTTAAATATATTTTATTGATTTTATACAGAAAGGAAGGGAGAGAGATAGAGAGCTAGAAACATTGATGAGAGAGAATCATGGCTCAGCTGCCTCTTGCACACCCCCTACTGGGGATATGCCCGCAACCAAGGTACATGCCCTTGACTGGAATCGAACCTGGGACCCTTCAGTCCCCAAGCCGAAGCTCTATCCATTGAGCCAAACCGGTCCCGGCTCTTTTTTTTTTTTTCTTTCTTTCTTTCTTTTTTTTTTTTTTTTTTTTTCTGTTCCAGGATCCCATCCAGGACACTACATTACATTTAATTGTTATAACTCCTCAGACTCCTCTCCTCTGTGACTGTTTCTCAGATTTTCCTTGTTTTTGATAATCGTGACAGTTTTGAAGAGTACTGGTTACGTATTTTATGGAATGCCTCTCTTGTTTTGTGTGTTTTTCTCATGATTGGAGTGAAGTTATGGGTTTTGGGGAGGAAGACCATGGAAGTAACTGCCACTTGTCACGTCATGGGAAGGGTACTATTACTAGACACATTCTATCAAAATGACTTGTCACTGTTGATGTTGCCTTGGATCACCTAAGGTAGTCTGCCAGGTTTCTCCACTGTAAACTTGTTTTTCTTTCCTCCAAGCCATATTGTAATTCTTTGGAAGGAAGTCACCATGCACAGCCCACATTTTAGGAGTGGAGAAGTATCTAAGTTATTTGGAATTCTACATGGAAGGTTTGTTTATTTATTCAACCGTTTTTATTAGGATGAACAAATGGGTATTTATTTTATACTTTAGATTATAATCAGATATACTTTATTTTTTTTCTCAAATTGTTTTAGCTTTGGCCTTTGGGAACTATATATATATTATATTTTATTATTTAATTTTATTATTATATTATATAATTTATTATAAAATTATATTTTATTGATTTTTTTACAGAGAGGAAGGGAGAGGGATAGAGAGCTAGAAACATCGACCAGCTGCCTCTTGCACACCCCCTGTTAGGGATGTGCTCACAACCAATGTACATGCCCTTGACCAGAATCGAACTTGGGACCTTTCAGTTTGCAAACGGACGCTCTATCCACTGAGCCAAACCGGTTTCAACTAAAAATATATTTTTATTGATTTCAATTAAAAAAACTGTATAAAAAAGATAAAATAATCCACCAGAGAGTAGAGTTTCTTTTCCAATAATTTGAGTAAGGTGTAGTGGATTTTGCTTTGTGTTACATGCTTATTCCTGAATTAATCTCAGTACCTAGGGAAGAAGGAACATGTTGACTGGCTGCTTTGGGCTATGCATTCCCCCAGAATGGGTCATGTGGATCTAGAATGATGCCTGATGCCGGGGCGTTCCCCCTGCAAACAAAACAAAACAAAACAAAACAAAACAAAACAAAACAAAACAAAACAAAAGGTTCTGGTACCAGAAGGGGGAGATGGGGAATAAAACGGGTTAAAACAATTGCTATCCACTCCCCAAGCCCTGCTCAGAAACCTTAAGTGCCTCTTCTGCCCTGTCAGGTTGCCTACGGTGTGGACTTTACTTGTTCCTCCAGCCTCATTCGTACCTCTCTGTCTTTTCTCTAAGCTTCCCTTCCGCAGTTCTCCAGAGAAGCCTACTTTCTTCTTCAATGTGCCTGCGCTTGGGTGGTCTCCCCAAATGATCACCCATGCCTTGCCCGTCAGCATGTCCAGACTCTACCCGATTTTCAAGGAAAACTCTGAGTGCCTCTCCTCCGTGAACCCCATCCCAACAACCCGGAGAGAGACGTAAGGAAGACTGAAAAAGGGTAAAGGCCACCTGATGTGGAGGTAAAGAGATGACAAAGACCGAGGACTCCTCCATTCTTCCAGAAAACCTTCAAGCACAATCAAAATCCATCACAGTCAACCTTCTAGGGTTACTCCATAGTCATAGTTCAAATTGGAGGCATTTTGTTTTGCACAAAGATGTTCATCGCAGCATTAATTATAATAGCAGAAATGAGAAGCTACCCAAATGTCCTGCACTAGAGAATGAATTGCCTACATTTTTCTTGTGAAAAATTTCATGACCTTTTAAACCACGACAGCAATCTACTAAAAAAAATTCACTCAAATGAGAAATGTGCCTAAGAATAAAATAATACTATACATAAATTTTTTTATTATATTCGTAAATTGTACTTATGTTGAAATTTTAAAAATATATTACAATACTATTTTTGTGTTCTATGAAATTTTTTAAAAATATATTTTATTGATTTTTTACAGAGAGGAAGGGAGAGAGATAGAGAGCTAGAAATGTCGATGAGAGAGAAACATCGACCAGCTGCCTACCGGGACCAATGTA